CTTCCAGCCAGATGAAATGTACCATCATTCCCTCCAATGTCTTCTCTAGGTTCCCAAAGCACTGTGTGCCTACAATGCATTCATAATAGTTTAATTATGACTTCTGTAACTCATAGGTTTAAATGATTTGTTGCCCACTAGTATGGAGCCCATGAAGGCTATCCCTGGTACATTACTGCGTTATTTCACTCAACGAATTCCTGCTATGCAGAGTCATTTAAAGGCCTTCAGAAACACAAGGCATTCTTTTCTTTTGGAGGCTCTTCCATTGTTATAGTAAACATACTAAAATGCATTGATATCCCATATTAAATATAGTTAGGTTTGGTGTAGGTGTGACAGAAATAAATATTTAAAAAATAATTTTGTTCTGGAAATGATTTCTGGTTGACTGTGACTTATAAGCGATCATCATGCAGGGAAGGTGATGGGAGAAACGACAAGAAATCCGAGGCCCTAAGAGGACAGCAATGACGAAAGCTATACATACTGTGCCGGTGGCTTACGTGAAATACCCAGTGAGGGACAAAAGTGCGTGTCATTCAGACTCTTCCAGAACTTGCTTTAAGGTGCAGAGAAAACAAATGGTTTAGCTTGAATTATTAAAGCTAAATACGGGCTTAGCATCCTGTGAGGACGGTCATCAAACTCAGTATTGCATCGTGATTAAAATCACAGATTCCAAGACAAGACAGTCTGGTTCAAATTCCAGCTCTGCCTGTCAACTACCCATGTAACCTCGGACAAGTTACTTAACTACTCTGTGTTTTAGTTTCCTGTCTTTACATGGGATACTATTAATACCTAATCATAGAGTTGATGTGAGCTTTAAATGAACAAAAAATGCAAAGAACATGGCAAGTTCTTAGAAGAGTGCCTGGCACATGGAAAGAGCTATGTAATATTAGCTACAGCTGCCGCTTTTACTGCATGGGGTGGATGTACCCCATAGCGTCCCTGTCTTATAGTTAAAATGTGAAACTTTTATGGCTAAAAAAAAAAACCCATGATATCTGCTTCCTTACGATTCAATAGAAATAATCCTTATTAAAATGTTTAAAGAGTTTCAGGAGAGTAAACGGTTAAATTCTTAGGCAAGAGGAGAAACGAGTTCACGTGTATTACCATCCTACTAGTCCAGATGAGAGCATGTTTGGAAAGATTTCCAGATGTGGAATGTTGGCCTCGAGAGCCAACCAAGAATAAAGCAGAAAGTCTCCAGTGTTTTCGGAATTACCTCCAGTCGCATGGCACCTGATAATCTGCACAGCTGAGACGACCACGTCTGGAGCCGCCACCCAGGGGTCACCCCAGCACACCTGCACTGTTCATAACGCACATTCGTACTGTCCTCTAGAACCTGCTTTTCCTCTCTCTGCCACTGCCTGCATCTGACCCCACTGGTTCCGAACAAGCACTCCCGGCTCAGCTCACCAACACTGCCCTCTTTGCGTGTATTCTTCCCGCGCTGGACTGCACCGAGAACACGATTGCATGGATTTCCTGTTTCTAGACCTGCTGACATGTCGTGTCATTTTTCTTCATTGGTGGAGAACATTAGGTCACCAGCTGCCTCATACACTAGGGCAAATCGGTTTCCTCAAAATCTGTTCAGTGACCAGGGAAAATGTTTGACTAATTAGAATTGTAACTTAGAGAGAAATTTCTGTGAATTAAAAAATAATCTATTTGTAGCCTAAATCTCTAGCGATTCAGGTATAATGACTTTTGCTGAGGTATGACGCATGGCTTGAAATTCCTACTGCATCGCTCATGCCAAATACTGCATCGGTCAGGGAGAAAGAGGTTCTTGGAGCTCTGAGCTTCCGAGAGCAGAGATGTGAGCAGATGCCCCCCTCGTACCCATGAAAACTGAGGCAGTATTACAGCTCGGGGCTCACATCCTGAGACCACCTGAGGGCCTGATACAGGGGACTAAGGACTTCTGGAAAATGCCAGGGTGGACAGACTTCTAGTTTCAAAATGGCAGAGTGAGGCTTGTGTTTCCCCTTCTGCTTTTAAAAATTACTGTAGGAGGGGCAAGGGCAACATACGTAACCTAAACATCTGTACCCCCATAATATGCTGAAATAAAAAAAAATTACTGTAAAAGCAGCTAGGAGACTTACAAACAAATGCAACCTCCATCTTAAACGAAACAAAGAGTCACTGTCTATAAGAGAGAGCTGCCAAAGGCAGTCAAAGAGAGAAGATGGGAGAGAGGAGCCCCCTAGCTGGAGAGCACAGACCAAGCCAGTAGAGCCTGCGGTCTTAGTGAATGGCCACTCTGATGGCCAACCCCTTCTGCACAGGAACACGAGACACAGGCAGGCTGGCTGCTAGCAGGGCTTGCCTGGGCCCAGTTTGGCGGAGAAGAAAGGCATGGGTGACTCTAATATTTAACATTTAAATTATGCATCTGGAATTATAGTAGCAAAGTAATCTTTTGAAGGCCTATAGTTCATGCTCTGATGCAGTTAAGCAAATACCGATTTATCTGTTCTTTGAATATTTAATTTCTGTATATAGCCATTTAGTAAGGCTGACCCCAAATCCCTCCCTGAAGCGATTGTGTGAGACAAGTATTAATAAATGCTTTACTAATAAAGCTCTAGTTATACCGCACTAAAATGACAACCCAGCTGCTTCCTGAATTTTTGTGCAAGAACTTTTCAGGAGCAGGCACTGAGGACAGGTATCTGAGAAACGTCCCCAGCTGGCAGATGCTTACACATCTGGGCGAAGGCAGTGTGCTCTGTTGTACTGCGTTATGTACAGTCAGGGACACCTGAAAGCCACAGAGGTAAAGCCCCAGAAAGGAGTCGGCCTCCATGCACGCTCCCAGGGCTACCATGAGCAAGATAGGGACAGGTGAACCTCCCCCTGGGTGGGTACAGCTCACCTGCAGGGTATATAAACACAGGCTGGGTTTCTGCCCCACTCCCGGTCCCCCGAGCTCCCTTCTGCATGAACAACCTGCACAGCTGTCCATGGCAGCCCTGTGAGCCCCTCAACACGAATACCTACTGGTTTCCACACCCAGGCTTCCGTCCCTGCCCTAGGATTTCTGCACACGTTTTCAGTCACAAATGAGAAGACAGAATTATTTCAAACAGTCCCACAACCGAGACGGCGTTATTAAGATGCTAGTACCACGAATCAGCCCAGGAGAGTGGACGAGTGGTTTAAGAAACGCAATCGTTTCCTCCCACAGGGATGTCACGCCGGGACTCACCGTGGTAATTCCAGCCACATGACCCAGGACGGGGACCAGTCGCTAGGTGGCGTCATGTTGTGGTTGGAGTCCAGGGCTGCTGGGCTGCTGCAGTCTTGCTGGGGCTCGGGCTCCGTGACTTCCAAAGCTTTGAGTACCACCGAGGAGGACGTGCTTTTCAGTAATGCCACTGCCTCGCTCCGGCTGACCTCTGTTAGTTCAATCCCATTCACATTCAACAAAATGTCACCTGATGGCCAGAAAAGCAGAAGCCATCCTTAGTGAGAACACAGACAGGGACTTCCACTTAAAACACAAGGGGCAGGGACTGACTGGCACGTGGGGACGTGGAGAGGGTGAGGGTGTGTCACCAGCCTCTCATGTTTGATGTGAGGCTGGGTTTTCATAGAGCGAATGGTAAACAGTGGGCATTCCAAGGCTCTGATAAGTCTTGTTTGGGGAAGGGAGGGAAGGAGGAAGATAAATTAGCCTTGTTCACTATTTAATCAAAGAAAACCTACTTTTTCACTCCTTCTTTGTTTTCTGTTTTTAGCACAAAGGGGAAGCATTTGGTGAAAGCTCCAGCCCTTGCACAGAGCCTGGTCTCTAGTAGACACACAATAAATAAGGATTAAGTGAATGAATAAGCAACTACCCATGAGAGTGTCTGGCAGAAGAGTCTACAGCATTTAGGAAAAATGGGCTTGGAACTGTGCTCTTAAAAGAGGTGGAAAGAAGAGTTAACGTTTCTATTCATTACAAAGGTGAAAAGAGCTAGCATTGGTTAAGCACCTACTGCGTGCAGGACCATTTCCATACATCGTATCATATGATCCCCTAGCTCATGCTCTCTTACTAACAGGTCACTTTGGCCTCGTCACTCTCCACCCAGGTGCTTGTAGAAAAGCAAGAGAAATTAAAATACTTATCTCCTCTACCCCCAATTTTTTATTATCTTCTTCATGTTTTCCTGGTTCCCTTCACATATCATCTTTTTTATCGAGAATACCCACAGCAGGAGCAAAAAGACAAGAGGGGAAAGATGGGAAAGGCCTCTCTGACCATCAGTTGGCTGACTAAACCCCTCAACACACCGTCTGCCCATGGCTCCTTGGGCTGAGCAATTATACTTTCAAACTTCACATTTTGTCTCTTGAACGTGGACCTTTCCATGGCATAATCCCTCATCTATCTGAGCCGCCCCTTCACGTGAATTGATAGTATTACTAAAGTTACATATTCGTAGAGGGAAACTTGATATCACCTTCCTTTACTCAAAGGAGCCCGGAACACATGAGATTTAAGTACTGCAACACTTTTCACCAACGGGGAAGTACCTAGCATGGTACTTAATAAATACTCACTGAATCAAATCTATCAAATGACTTCTCCTATCCAACCCATAAAAAATGGAACAGTTCAGGAATTTGTCACTGGATCAACCCAGGGAAGAGTCACTTAGAATGAATAGAGTCAAATTATACCATTTAATAGAGACAACTTGCTCCTAACAGTAGCAGTTCCCTGTTAATTACTGGGATAGTCTGGAGGTTCTAGCTTTACTAGCAGGCAAGTTGGCCCACATCGACCCACATGAACTAAGAGGAGTGAAACCTGGTCTAACAACTATGCTCGAACCAATCATCATCAATGGGTAACAGATGTCCCTGTCAGATCCCTCTCACATCCTCTCAATAATTCTGGAAACAGTCACCTAAACACAGTGAGCTGTTAATTTCTCTTAATACTTTTCCACCCCAGTGCCTTAAGTCCTTTTGCTTTTTACCTGTTTTTATTCTTCCGTCTCTGCTTATGACTCCTCCGGGCTCGACACTGATGACATAGATAGGCAAGTCCCATTCCCTATGTGACGCTCCCCCTGCAACGGTCATGCCGAGAGATTCATTGGGGTCTTTTCGTACACTCACAACCTTCTCACGACAAGTAACTGCAGGATGGAGGGGCTGAAGGCACAGACAGAAAAACATGGCACATGTATTCACATGTGGGTTTGCATTTTCTACATGCAGAAACCGCCAAGGCTGCACAAACTATGTAAACTGAATAAATATGATGGTGGTCCTTGAAACCACAGAGAAAGACACAGGCAGAAAACCCTCCCCTTATCCACTCCCTGCCATAATAGAGTCACATTATCCCAAATTCCATAGACTAATTCACAGAGAGTTTACATTTTAAAAGGGAAATCTTTTTTTTTTTTTTCAATTTGGTCTCTGTAGAGACTGTCAATAATTGCCAATGCTGACTATATTTCAAGTTGTCATGGTGGGGTATGGGGAAAAGTTTGCAATTAGCAATAATCACGCCTTGGATAAACCTCATTGGCGATGATACTGCCACCGCGCAAAGCTACAAAAGGAAAATCTTAAGCAAAGTAAACCGAACCCAAAAGTTTTCAAGTGAGTCATTTAATCCTGATAGTAGTGAGTCAGCATTTCAAAAAAATTCTTACCATTTAGGAATATCAGGAATTTTTTTCTAAGTTTAAAAAAAGTAACCGTATTTTACGCAGTGTCTTCTTTCACACCTCCCCAGTGCTTACTACACAGGCTCGCATGAGCAAAGAGACGTTTAGTTGGGCACTGTGGGACTCGGCAGAATTACTGGAGTACCACAAATACGACCTGTGTCCCTGTGCCCTGTCTGTGTCCCCCATGGCCATTTATTCTCCCCACTAGAGAGACTCACGTTAGCAATGGAAAAACCCAAGTTTCCCTGTGAAACCTTCACTCCAGAGTTGCCCAACCTTGGCTGGGGAGGAGGAGAGTTAAACATGACAGAGATCATCTTTTCCATCTGTCTTTTCTCCCCACTCCCCTGCTTCCCGACTTTGGACACCTTGGAATGTTCCTTAATGTTTCAAAACAAAATTTATGATGAAATAACTCAAGCTGATTAAAAAATATCAAGGACATCTGTGTATTTATCACTCGAACTATAAAACATTTATATTTCATATTTGCCTTGAATTTTTTAAAATATTTTTTTCATTTCTTCTTCAGCAATGTTACCTGGATTGAATTTTTAAAATAAAACATTTTAGGGCAATAAAAAAGTATAAACAACAACAGGATGACCTACCCATGAACCTCAAAACCCAACATCGGAAATAAATGTTCCACATACAGTTAGTCCCGGTACGATTTCTCTCCAGTCATATTCCTTTCCGCTCCCATACAGGTAACCATGCTCCTAAATTTGGTGACTCTCATTTCTTGACTTGTCAATTGGCTAAAAGCTTTCTGTCCCACAAATCCTGGTTTGCCTTCTTTAGTTATTTCTTTGAATCATTTAAGCTATTTTCAAAAAGTCACACTGTTTTCTAAATCAAACAAAATTTTAGTAGGAACATAAAAACTAAACCGTCAAAGAGCCCTATGTGTCTTAGTTTTATTTTAAATACGCCACTTTTTTTTGGTGAGGGCATTTCAGAAGGCAGATACAATATAAATTAAAATGAAAATAATTATAATTTCCCACCAGGCCAGTTTGTATGTTTCCAGGAATTAAGAAACATGACTTGGGGTTGCAGCAAAAATGTGATCAGATCCTCCTGGCTCTTCCCACGATTCATGATGGGTAGGTGGATGGAGACCTCACTTTCTGTTAATTTAATGAATTAGGATATATTCTAGTTAATTCAACTAAAATTAATTAGATAAAAACTTTAATTAGTCAATTAAGCTAATCAACTACTTTTCCATTAATAAAGACGATCAGTTTAATTTAAACACGCTAATGGTATTTACCAGCAAAAAGAGGGAGTTCTTGTTCATTAAACATTTTAGCAGGATGTACTTGGTCTAGATTGCTTATTAATGGCATTTATGATTTTGTGGGGCATGGCTTGCTGGAGAATAGGGAGGGGGATGTACCTTATAGGCTCTGTAATTAACACAGTATAAAGTGGAGATGTTCTAAAATCAAAATTTTGAGTATTGCTGCTGCACACATTGCTCAAAAACTCAACTTGTAAGTTGTTCCAACCAAACGTAGCTTGATGTGGAAGGGAAAGGGCATTCCCTACTCTCTGTTGCAAGAAGAATGGGCTACCTGTAAGATTTTCTTTTATTCAATAGTTACAAGTGATATAATGAAACCAGAACCCAGGGGAAGGGACCGATAGAAGCTCATTGCCATCACAACAGGATGCCAAGCCAAAGCTACTGGGCTCTTACTTTGGGCTAAACAAGGTTTGCGTTGCTGAGACACGCATCCAAATGGAAAGGTTAAGTCACTGCTTCTAATAGAAGCCACAGACTTCGTACAAATTGGGCCGAGTCGCCTCATTTAAAGAGAGGCTGCGAACTGGTGGCCTGAAGGATAGATTCCACCCACAGATGCATTCTGCTTGATCCGCAGTGTTTAAAATTTTTTTTTTGGATTTGAATGCTGTAAGATAGGACATGTGCTCCATGGTTTGCCCCAATCCCCACCACTCCCTAATGTCACATGAGTGTTTAAATCATCTTCCTGGGCCCTTTGGCAAACACAAACATATTAAAAATAGCAGGAGAATCATTATTTTAATTTCCAGGCAGACTAGGAAATTCAAAAACCAGAAACCAAGTAAACCTCTTGTTTCATTTCCAAGAGAATGGAAAACAGTCCTTAAATAAAATATCTCTTGGGAAAAACATGACATCTATTTGGCTTAGACTAGAAATTAGGTCCCCACATGAGGTCTCCATGATCAGGTTTCAAAACCGTCCTGCACTTTCCTCTCTCCTGCTTGAATGGGAGACACGCGTCATCTCACCAAGTCCTGAAGATGGGACTTTGGGCCTTTAGTTTTACAAGTCACAGTGTTTAAGTGACAAAGTCCAGAGAGGACGCTTAGACATGTTAAAGCAAGCAGCCTTTCCAAGCAACAGTTCCCTGCAGGAGCAGCGGACGTGCCCCGGCTGGGCCTCACCTTGGGAGCGTTGCTCCTCCGCGCCGGCCCTGGGGACTGGCCGCCGTTCCTGTCCCAGCCGGCTTCCTCAAAGATGTCGGGGCTCTGCTGTCGAACCTGGCGTGACACGACGAGGTGAACGCGTCTTTCGCTGGCCTGGGTAAGACGACACAGGCGTTAGCCACTCTCCGAGTTCCCATCCACGGCGTCCAGCACCCGGGGCTTCCCGAGACAGGACTTTGGCTGTAGCTTTTTTTTTTTTTAATGGAAAAACATGGTTTCTAGTAATGTTTATACCAGTGCCCATCTTGTCATTTGGCAAAAGTATGAGAGTTATTTCCTTTATACTTAAACCAGGTAGTGAACGTTGCTCCAAGAGAAAACCTAAGGAAGGTTTAGTTCAGTCCAGTCTTTGAAAAGACATTAGATATTGCTAATTTATTTGTAAGGAATGGCTCCACTGCACACAAGGCACGTCTGAAGGTCTCCACGGATGGAATGTGGTGCACAGTGTAAAGCAGTAGCCCAGAGCGAAGGTCTAAGATCAAAGGTCATCAGTAAAGAAGAAGAAAATTATCAGCAGCAACCCTGATATCACAGGAAGAGAACCCTAAATCCGACAGTCACACACATTTGGGTATTGCAAAGGTTGAACACTTTAGAAATATAGGTGCTGTTATGATGATTTGTTAGGTTCTAATATAGCCTGACTGGCTGAGCTTGTAGTCCCAGAGACTGGGGAGGCTGAGGCAGGATGATTGCTTGTGGCCAGGAGTTGGAGACCAGCCTGGGCAACAGAGCAAGACCCCATCAAAAAAAAAAAAAAAAACCCCAAAAAACCCAAAAAACTTAATACAGCCTGATCAAAGTTCTTTGCTTTGATTCTTTCTCTTTTATGTGACCACCACGAATTTTGCTTACTAGTCCTCTGTTAAGTACTTCGATACTTAGAGCATTTGAAAGAGCCAGCTGTAGTGCTTGATTGGAAAGGTCCACTCCATACAGCAAATTTACCGATTGGTTTTCTGTCACGGATCAGTTTCACGAGTGTCTGACAGTGTGGGCCATTATTCCAGAATTGCTGACCGGTGAGATTTCAGAGCTGCAGGGCGGACAGGCAAGACCTCAGACCTGTGAGACTTACATAAACAGGGCTCCCTGATGGCCCTGGCTGAAGCAGCCAACTGACTCCATCTATCATTTTAGTGAAAGTTGATAATGGACGAGGCATGGCTAGATTTGACTACACAAGTCCCCAAGAAGGACCAGGTTTGGGGACGAGGAAGATGGAGAAGTAGTAAGGTCTGGAGGGTTCTCTCTTCATCCCAGCCCTTGCCCGTTCGCTACCACGGCAGAGATGGACACCGACCTGCCCGCCACCTTCCTTCACAGCGTGGTTAGGGGCCACAGGAAAGTCAGGCCGAGACAATGGGGTGGAGATATCTGTTTCCTGCCTGCTATGATCCAAACACGTGTGTTCCCCTAAAATTCACATGTTGAGATCCTAACCCCGAAGATGAGGGTATTTGGAGGTGGGACCTTTGGGAGATGGTTAGGTCACGAAGGCAGATCCGTCATAATGGGATCAGCGCCTTTATGAAAGAGGCCCCGGGAGCCCGTTCGCCCCTCCCCCACGTGAGCTGCGAGAGGCGCCAGCTTTGAGAAAGCAGCCCCTCCCCCGACACCCAGTCTGCCAGCATCCTGATTTTAGACTTCCCAGCCTCCAGAACTGCGGGAAACAAGCTTCTGTTGTTTATAAGCCACCCAAGTTCAGTGCATTTTGTTACGGCAGCCTGAATGGACCGAGACACCACCTCTCTGCCTCTTTCTTCCCCGAGAACATGACTCTCTTCCAGCCTCAGGAATTAGGACCTCGTTTTTAAAACCTTAAGCAAAAAGATCGTCGCACCAATGAAACGACATCCCCACGGTTGTCCAACCCTAACCAGCCCAAACCTTCATGACTTTGCACTCTTATGTTAACAAATAGCTCATCTCAGCGCTCCCTTGAAACTCAAGAGTCATCAACTGGGTGGTGGCTGTAAATTAGATGAACTTTTAAAGACAACTGCCGAAAGGGCAGGAGGAGTGTCTGTCGCAACCTCACGATGGACGGGCAGCCAGGTGAGTGGATTCACTTCACACAAACAGAGCCCAGCGAGGCAGTCGGAGTCTGCGGCCACGTCCTTCACACATGGCCTGGCCATCGCTTCTGATCTACCCAGCCACGGCTAACGTGCCGTGCCCTTGTTCGATGTCCTATCTTCAATTCCCTGGTGTTTCCCATCACACATAAAGCCTGTGTCAGGAGAGAATAAAAATAACGAGCCCAGGAAGCAATCATGAGGAAAGCTGACACAATGAACTAGGGTATTAGCCAACTAATGCAATTCCTGGAAGCATATTTTGTAATAACTATGTCTCTTTCTTTTTCTATAAACCTCCCTTATCCTAATAAGCTTATCTTTGGGAACTCTCTGAAGCAAGAACTACTAAAAGATAAGAAACGGCAAACATTCAGGTCAAAACCTCAGTTATCGAGCTCAGATTTGCTCTCTGATCTTAGGGGAAACTCCAACGTTTGGAAGGATCTCGGCGGCGTGCTTGTGTCTAGGCTTGCTATCGTATCACGTTGGTGTTGGACAAAGAGCCGCCACGTGATAGAAGCAGCTCCTAAGAATTGAGAAGACTTCAGACTTACGCATGGAACCAACTTGCCAGGCAAAATCCAAATTGCCAAGAGCAACCCGCAAGGACTATTCAATTCACATTTTTTGAGCACAAATTTCTCACTGGATTTTCAAATGCCGGCTTTCGTATTAAATTGTTGGCAGGAATAACACTTCAATAAATAACTCTGGCATCAATTTACTTGGAAATAAATTCCCTGGAAAGCTGTTCTGTGGCTCTTACCAGCCACCTTGTAAATTGCTCACAGGGACACCCTATTTGATGCACTTTCGTGGTGTTTGCAGATACGAGGCGGAGAATGGGCTAACGTGTTTGTCCTGCTGGTGCTAATCTCACAAGCAGCTGGGTTCACTGTAGACAGACAACCCCTAGCAGCAGAGAATCTTTCTATCCACTGGTGTGAACGTGGTGTGAGCATGAGGAAGGGTGCAGGGGGGAGGCCCAGAAAGACTGAACTTGCTTATTTCACACCCAGGCAATGTGCGCCAGGAAGCACGTATAGCAGACCTGTCATTTTAATGGCAAATAGTCAAAGGAAGAGCTCGCTACGAGAGAGGTAGGACAGCTTCCCTCCTGGATCTCCTGGGATGTTGCAGTTTGGGCAAAAGGACGGTGTGACAATTGTGGCGATCTCAGTTAGTGGATACGGCTTGAAGTTGCCCCTCTTCTCTCCCTTAAACATCCTGGATTTAGCACTAGGCAAATTCTGGACACACTTGTTACGACCCGCATGGCCTGACTGTGCATCATAATCTCCTTTCTCTCGCGAGAGCCCAAGCATTCAGCCCCTTCCTCCTCCCTCCACCCGCATTCTCCCTGCAGACGTTAGCTTCCTGGCAGCCTCTCAACACAAAATTCTGTCCCCATGGAGCTTTTCCCACTTCAGGGACGTAAGAGGGGGTGCCGTGAAAGACACATGGGGAATATGCTTTAGGGTCTCCACAGGTGGGACCAATCACTTCTGGCTGAGGAAATAGGGAACATCTGATATTCAGAGACAAACAGAGGGTTAAAATTGGATGGCATTTGCTATGCAAAAGCTTGTTTTCTGTTGTTTTGTTCAATGATTGCTTTTCTCTGTTCTTTTGAGGTTTGACTCACAACTGCCCATCATATTTGTATGATGGGACTAAGCAGAGATCAGTGAAGGGAACCACAGTCCAGCAGCCTCATTTATATTTACTGATTTTTAAATAACAAAAGTCCATTTCTCACAGCCGGCAGGAGGGGTCTGAGAGTGGTAAACCACAGTCTCTCCGAGGGCAAGCATCGTCCTTCCTGCTCAGCTTGTAAATGGCTCTTTTCCCTCCAACATCCAGCATCGCTGATGAAAACCGCTCATACTGTCAGGAGGCAACAGACCAGAAGCTTCCACAGAGCAGACACATGGGCACCAAAGATACCACTGCACAAGGAGAAGCATTTTGCAGAGCTGTACGTGGGAGCACAGGGGATCTATCTTTCTGCTGTCCCGGCATTGCACGGATGCATGCAGTGGCCGAGAGGGCCAACGATAGCTACACATGCAGAGCAAGAGTTGATAGAGTACCTGCACCTCAAGGTGTGAGCTTTTCACCTATTCCTTTGTGAAGGAGGACTGGGGTTAAACCAAATGCATTATAACATTTGCTTTTTCTTTTTTTAAGCATATAAGCTTAAATATCTATAGTAAGCTATATAAAATTCACGCAGGCTCATTGTGTTTCTTGTATTAGTTTTATAAAGTTTCAAGTTAAGAGCTGCCACCCTCCCCCCATGATGCCCCAGGGTATCATTCTATACAGACACTCGAGGTGGGGACCCTCCAAACTGACTGTTGGACGTCAGGACTGTGTCGTTCAGAGCAGGAAGACACAGACCCAGCTCCCTTCAGGGCACAGTCCAGGGCCACAGGGGGTCCGTGCTTGATTGGGTGGGCCCCTACTGACGGAGACAGGTGACAGGTGCAGTGAGATTGATAACTATATAAGCTGCTTATAGAGCTTCTCTCTATGTAGCGTTTCATCATTAGCATGAGGTTTTAATGATCATCTCTTTAAAAAAAAAAAAAAAAATCAAAAAAAATTCATCCTACATTTCCCCAATGGTTTCTTTTCCAAGGACCTCAGAATGAGGCAGTCTGGCTTTACCTGATTTTCAGCATGTATTTGTGGGGATGGTTATTTCTAGCTGTGTGGGGTCGGGATCAGCCCACTTTAGAATCCCCTTCCAGCAGCTCTTCGAGTACCACTCTCAGTTCATCCACCCTGTGCTCACAAAGCCCTTGGGGAATCGTGGAACACCACTTCCATACGATTAGAAAGTCGCAGCTATGCGAGAGATGTCAGACATCATCTGATCCAGCATTTTCTCTAAGCCTGTGGTTCAACTCCCTGGCAAAATCCTTGCCATGTTCAATGTCACCCAGCTCATGCTTCAATGCCCCCGATGACAGGAAGCTCCCAAGGCAGCACAGGCCATTTAGG